ACTCCGACGGGGAACGATTACTGGCTCTATACTTAGGCGGAACATAACGTATGCATACCAAACACGAATTTTATGACCAAACCATATGCAATAGGAACGTGCGGCCACTTCCGCTCAGGCCATTGGCATACCCTGGATGTATCGTCAGTAGAAACGACCTGGAAGACGTGCTAATCACCAAACCCAGAGCGGACCTAGATTCTTGGATAGACCCTTCGACCATTGAACACTCTCTCTCTCTAGCTAGACTGATAACGATAACTATAGAATTTGTTTGGCTCCAGAATGAGACCAGGCCCTCTCTCTCGCACTTATGAAAATAGAATATTTATGAACCAGTCTTTTCAAGTTTTGGGCATCAGCTAATCTGCAACAAGAAAAGAGAGAACACAAAACAATTACTACGTCATTGCCAAACTGTAAAAGCTTTCTTTAGAAGCCGGTAGGTAGTTCCATTTGAAACCAAATTGAGTGGTGATAAAAGGTATTGTTGTTTTATGCCGGTTTTCCACCCAACAGACAAAACAAAAACAAAACCCAAACTCAAACTTTTTTCCAACATTTCAAGACTAGCGTGTTTTGAGAGAGTTGGAGTTTTATTTCCCCGAGAAAACAAAACGTAGTCCGCTTGATGGAAACAAGAGTTTTGTGTTCATTTCAGTTTTGTTTTTGTTTTAAAACATGTTTTAAAACACAAACTCAACAGTCCGTTTGGTGGAAAACCGGCATTAGAATTATTTTAGGTACCCTGAAGATTTAAAATATCCCAAGTATATTTTAATTTTATTATAAGCAGAAAAATTTAAAACAGATACTTTTCGTTGGTTGGCGATATTCATTATTATTCGACCAGGAAAAAATTCGGCAACAGGGCGTTTTTTCGTTTTGTTTTATGAGATAAACAACAATCACCCCTCTGACCCCGCTATTTCATTATGAAACCAAACAAATATACTTGTTGATCCCTCTAGCAGTTTAGAGCTCGATGGATAAACCACAGGCTTGTTTTTTGTTTTGTCGAAGATGAAAGCCTCCATGTATCCAAAAACGCGAAGCGAAATTGAAACGACAACGCCTGCAATTACTACTTCGTAACAGAAAGTTTTTGTGTTGTTCCGCTATGTTAAGTGCATTCAAATATTTCGAAAAGTGGGATTTTTCAACGCGGGCAGCATTTTTGGAGTTTGGGCTTTGAAATGATTTTTACGTTAAGGCTCACTAAGAATTTATAGGAATTTAATTTCGTTTTTGACAACGCCGCTGTGAACGTGTAGCACTAGCACAGGACGCAATTTGCAGCGACAAAGGAATCCACATACCACTACGTTCACTCCTGATTGCACAAACACGTTCCAGTTTTTCTTCATTTTTTTTCTTTATGTAGAAGCTACATGATAAGTAAAACAAATACCTACGTAATTATTACCTATGAGAAATAAAAATGTATTTGTTTAAATTTGTAATAACGTGTTTCTTGATTTTCCTAGAAGGGTGGTCTCTCGAGCAAAGTGTAAAAGCTAAAAGTAAAGCATAGAGCAGTGTGGTCAACGTATGCCCCATAAAAAAAACGATAAAGGCAATCTCGTCGATGTTCTTGAACTCAGCACATTAAGTATGTATGGTTTCGAGTCGAGACCGAAAAGGACTAAACTCCATTAGGAGAATGGACTTTTAAATCAGGGAATTTATTCTAGATAATCAGGGTGCCTGCTACGAATAGACCAATGAGATAGATGTGGGTCAGATTGCTTGATCTCGCCTGGTTTGCTCTTATAATAATTTTGCACTAGGTATGTAGTTTTTATTACACTGTAGCATCCGCGCCAAGTACTCCATTATTTAGGTTAGATGGTAAATTGCGAGCGGTCGTATTTGATCGTAATAATTTCCTTGGGCAGCTACTGTAAAATAAAATTGTGGGTGCGGGTCTATTTGCAACAAACTGATTTTATGGTTATACATTAATAATTATACTTTATTAATGAGAAAATAAACAGTTATTTTTTCGAATAAAAATCGTACATATTTTCTAAACCCTAATCCAACACCTTTCTAAACTAAAATAAACAATTCTAAATTGATGCAATCATACAGTCACCTCTACACTGTCTCTGAGCTTATGAATCAAATCTTGCAATTAAAAAGCCTTGTACTTCATATAGCCCTACTACATTAAGTACAATATTTCTTAATCCTAAATACCTTTTACACCTCAAAACAATAATTCATAATTTAGTTTAATAATTTTAATTTCCTTTTATATAAACGTATAAAATCCCTGAAATTGCTTACTGCCAAATTTTGTACAATACTTATACTCAAACTAGTGTATTTAGCCAGAGTAAATACTAATAAAACAATGAACATTTCATCTAAATTAATTTAATTAGAAACCAGAATATCAGAATAATCGTTTTCTAGACGGGACAAAACAGTTAATTTCGGTTATCCAAACTCTTTAGTAAAATATTCTACGTCAATTTACTCAAGTTAATAATATTTATGCAATAGTTTCATAGTCAATTCACTCAAGTTAATAATATTTATGCAATAAAGTTTCATAGTCATTTTCATCATTGATAAAGTCAAAAATAAAATTTATCACTAGAGTACTTACATTTAAATTTTCGCCCTTAGAAGTCACTTAATTATTCTAATTATTATATTTGCTCAGAATAGCTAAAGCACACACATAAAAACAGAAAAGTTTACTTCTTTCTTAATTCGAATTATTTACTGAATTTTTACATTTCCCGAGGCCCGATTTTTTTTATACTTGAGATAATTCGCCACTTCTGAATACTACTAATTATTGAGTCTAATTCTGGATAATTGATTGATGATTCTCCTCTCTACTTGAATGACAGCACTTTTCATAATATGTATTAATTATCCACCACATCCGACAATATGGGCGGTCGTTGACCATCTGTAAATTCAATTCTATTGGTCTACCTAGATATCAGTGGCGTATCCAGGGGGGGGCAAAGGGAGCAATTGCCCCCCCCCCAGAGCAACAACCTTTTATTTCTTAAAAAATATCTCAAATAACAAAAAATAATGTTTCTACTCGCATGAGCAAAGTTATTACTTTGTACACTCATTTGCGTGCGCGAAGTTGAACTTTGCGCATGAAAACTCTTTGCGCACTCATTTTTGTTTCACATAATTATTGTATTTATACTCGATTTATCAATGTTTCAATGTTTTGTGGGTTTCTGGATAAACTAATATTCAAAAAGAAGGGCTTGATGATATTTTTCTACCAAGAAAGGCATTCAGGTAATGTTTAGCTTTTAATTTGACACTTTCCGTATGAGGAGCGGAACGCGGGGAGGAAAAATCCAGCAAAAACAGGTAGTGAGTTCAGGTGACCATTGGCGTGGGGAGCCACCAACTTCCATTCCTTTGGAGTATCACATTATAAAACTTGGACAGTAAGTTATACTCCTCCATATACTTCCCAACTTAATGGTGCTGCGGAAAGAATTAATCAGATACCAATGGACAAAGTAAGATCTATGACAATGAAAGCAAAAGTGCATAGAATATTTTGGGAAGATCATGCTGCACTTGTTGCTAGGTAAACTGATTTGAAAAGACACATAAAAAAATATCAACAAATTTTAAGTAAACCTCGCTAGCACAACCACTACTGCAAATAAAGTCAAGCTGATCACTGAAAAAACAAATAATTGAAAACACGACACATTGAACTAAGAGAGAAAATTACCAGTTTTGGATGCTATGCAAATTTTCAAAAACTCTAAGAAAAAGTATTGTCCTAACACTTGCGCAAAGTGTCTTTTCCGCACTGAAAGTTTATCCGAACTCCGCTTCGCGTCGTTCTGCGGGAAAGTATCACTTTGCGCACTTGTTAGGAAAATAACTATTTTTATGTAAGTATGTATTACACACCTTTGAATTTACCTTTTTTAGTTTGGTTTTGTGTTATATGTTACTTGTTTCTTGAAAGTCGATTTCTGAGGAAAATAAATAATTTCAGTTATAAAAGTCTTCTCGTTTCAATGAGCAGTCCAAACATTTTTTCACTGGCGGCTCATCGCAGGCATACGGAACCATGGCACTACCTTATTTTTCAATAAAAATATTTTTTTTGTCCTATAAAAGTATTAGAAGCGCGCGAATATGCCATCAAGATGTGTGATTTTAACGATTTATGGGCGTGGCACCTGGGCATCTGGTTTGCCCCCCCCCAGAGCCTCAGGCTGGATACGCCACTGCTAGATATTATTCCAAAAAAATATAACTTGCTCATTCGGATGATGACGAAATCTGTGTCGAAATTGTATGATTATTTAGGGTCAATGAAATGGGAAAGAATATAGAGGACTCAGGAAAAACCGCATTCGACACTCGTGCCGGCAATAAATTATACGATCTTTTGAAATTTCTGTCATTTTGGGACCCAATTTAATTAGGTACCTAACCTTGTATTTTATCTTTTCCGGGTTTTGATTTATGAGTTCAACTAACTTGATGACACACGCCTGGGGCCTTATTCTTGCAGGGGAGAACGAGTGTTCCATCTTTGTTACTTATATTATCTTATGCATATCATTGAGAAAGACCGAGCACTTGTTCTCCTGGGAACACTGCTCTCCTGGTTCAAGAATGAGGACCCTGATGACTGGCTATTAGAAATTGAACGTATTTTAAATATTTTAATTAATTTGGGGTCAACGCTAATTTATCTCATCATTTTCCAATTTTGTTGAAACTGATTTGAAATACTGGAAATTCAATTTTTGATTATTTGATTACATATAATTTTTACTGTTAAGACATTGTAAATTACGGGTCTATTTTTCCCGGGTCATTACAACACTTGGGTTAAACAATGAGGTCAGAGAATAGCACAAAATATTTTCGTATGTTTGGATTTTTTTTTTTGGCATCACTTTTTTTTATAGTTTCTTTTGAATTTTTTTTTTTAAATATCAGCATGCACAATTTAAAATGTGGTACCTATTACTTACCACATAGACAGCGCCCAATGGCATAACAAGACAGGCCACCATAAGATCAGCCATTGCCAAGGATACAACCAAGTAATTAGCAACGTTTTGCAGATTTTTTTCTAGAAATATTGCTGCGATAACAAAGACGTTTCCTGCAAAAAAAGAAAAATACATAACCAATAATGATCATTCTCAATATTATGTTATTCACGTAAAATTAATAAAATAAATCAAAATTGTTCAAGTGGGTATGTTATATTATATCAGCGCTGGATTAATTTAGTGATTTTAAGTTGGATTTCAAAATACTAGCATTACTTTTATACTTATCTAAATATATAGAAGCTTATCTCAAATATCAATTACCTAGTATTCTTTTGGTAAATTAAGGAATAAAATAGTCATGTGAGATGTTTTTTCCAGGCGCCACGCGACTCTGTAAGGTTAACAAAAGACGAATCAACAAAATTATCGAATCCTTTTTTTTTTTGGTGTTGATAAGATAGTTTTTGCCGGGTCGATAGAACACATCGGGTGGCAGACAAAGATCGTTGTTCGTTCCTTCGTTCGGTTGGGCAATTCGTTAATAAATGAAATTGTAGGGAGACGATGTGTCAGTGTTATTGATTAGTGATGTTTCTTAAAGCCTCAGGTATATCTTACTCTGAAAGAAAGAAATTAGTGAATGTCAACATTTGCTGGTGAATGTCGATTTTACCAAATGCCTCGGTAAAGCACCAAATATTTGTTGATTTTATTGTACCCTTACGAAATTGCATTGAGAACTCGTCCAGATTATAAGAAAGTGGTTGTTTACGCCTATCGCGACTATTCGGGAAATTTTATTATATTGGAGTAGGGCGGGATTCTCTAGATAATTTCCGGAAACAATATCGCATATATATCACTAAGGGGCAAGGGCCGATACTTTTGCTCTCGATTAACGAATTTGATCCGTCGTCAAAGTTTTGCATGGGCCAAGATCTAGAAGTATGATGTGGTTAAAGCCACTGATCTCAAAAATAAATGGATAAACAAAGAACGCTTCTAATGCTGCTAATTTACGAGGTCATTATCTAAACAAAAACAACTGACTGGGACAGCTGTGAGCGTGCGCAGTAGATACATTTACTGTGCGTGCACAGAATCTGGCCAATGAAAACGAAGGAATTTCAAAATTTAGAACAGTTGTTCAAAAGATAAGACACTGCGCAGGCGTTAGGCTGTTCCGTTGCACAACTGTTCATGGAATATTGGCCCCAAATTTTCGCACAAGTTTAGCCAATTGAGCCGTACAATTGTTTATCCATTTATTTTTTAGATCAGTGGTTAAAGCACATTCAAACCGCTGATTATTTTCAACGGCTGTCAAATGAGAGCAAAAATACCGGCACTAAGTGAATCAGTTGGATAGTCAATAGTCAGTTTAAATACAAAATTTGTTGTGTACTGAGGAAAACCACCTAGGTATTTGAAATATTATTTCTTCAAATCCTCAATTCTTAAAACGTATACTAAAGAAAATTAAATGTTGCAACTATGTATGCGCTGTGAAATTTATGGGAACGGGGATGCGCCACAGATAAGTACCAAAGGGTAGAGAGAAAATGAGAGATCAAGAAGAAGGTTGTCCGCCATTCTTCATAATCCAATTTTTATTTTGTATTAAACTGATTGTTCAATCAAGTTCGTGATTAGTTTGTGTGTCAGCATTCACAGGTCAGTTGAATAAATGTTATTTTGTTTTTGTTCAATTTATACAAGTATTATTTTTTAATTTTTATGTATTTTTTGTTTATTTGGTTATACTATATTTTATAACATGTGCATTGTTCATGTATTTAACAAAAATCGTTTCATGCTGTGAAAAACGCAGATAAAATTTAAATTAAAACCTAAGAAATTATGTGCTGTCTTTTGTGCTGGGATTTTAATTTTTGGTATTCAGAACGTGCATAGGGCTTTATTGAATCTACTAACACTTTCCTACCCTGAAGAGCGAATATTCTAGCAAACAAATTGAAAAATCAGTCTAGAGATATTGGCTCAAAATAACAACTATAGTAGCCTTCCGAATGGGACCTCAGTACCGGCTGACAGACTGGCTAACTAACCAAAAACTCTTCAGTATTGAATATAGGTAGTGTTGATTGAATGTAGTGTGTGGAATTTGAATTTTAGCACAAGGACAGAGGCGGTAACTAATTTAAACTTTTATTGACTCACAATTACATAATATTATTAAAATGACACACAGTATGTTCTGATTTTTGAGAAATTGAGATCGAGGGTTTCTCTGCCGTGCTCTTTCTCCTTGTGAGTTCCACGACGAGAACGGTACGATTTTCTTCAATAATAAATTAGACGTTTCACAAATTTTTCGTTTATTTTACATATCACAACTTCCCTCAAATTTCCCTAATTTTGCTATTGTCGGGCGCATTTCAAGTAGGTCGGTAAAATTGAGTTAGTTTCGACAAAGTAGGTCCTATTTGTTTTTATTTCGTTTTGTAGAAGATTTGTTGAAAGAAGAGATAATAAAAATTCTGACCGTTCAATCTTGCTGAACGAACCAGGGTATGTTATACTACAGTACCTACGATTCGATAGCAGCGTGAATTTTCATTAGGTCAATTTGTTCAATAAAAATTGTTTGTAAAGTGAGTTTTAGTGGAGCCGGAATCCGTGATAATTTGGTGTCAGGAGTGAGGTTATTAGCAAGACGAGTGGGTGGTGCAATAATTTGAGCTTTTATTATGGCATTCGGCTTCATCCATACAGCGCAAAGTTATCAAGTTACCATATACACCTTTAATATAAAGGAATACCATTAATATTCTTAATGTTAAGCACTAACCAAATTACATAAACATTAGGGTATTTAGGCAATCATATATTAACAACCCAAACAACAACTCTAACAGCAAAAATTAGAAGCGAAAGGTTGTCAATTACAATTTCAAATTGATTCCACGTAGATAGGCCATAATGAATCTTAGTATCTTGTTGGGAGAGCAGATTGAGTAAGTTTAAAGGATAATTAACATAAAATGTGAATTAATTAGTGAAATAATTGGCAAGATAACTATTGGACTAGTTTGAGCTAATTAGTGGGATAATTAGGAAGACAATTGGCGTACCTATTAATTTGAGAAAATTAGTAAAATAGTGAAAACAATCGAATTTTTGTTTGACCTGAAATAGTGACCGGTTGGATTGGAAATCGAAAAATGAGTTCAAAAATGTATTTTCTGGAAACTTCCAGACACTTCCATGGTGTTCAGAATAACGGAACGGGTTGCAGCACTTTCACATCAAGAAGAACGAAGACAAAAAGTAAAACAAAAGGAGGAAGACCGGAGACAAAAAGAACAGGACGGGCTTGCAGTAGTTTTACAACAACAAGGAGACTGGAGGCAAGAAGAACAGGATCAGCGTAAGGAAAATTTTGACTATCAGCGAAAATAAATACAAACCATACTAGAGAAAATCCCCGAAGGGCAAGATAATAAATTCAAGAATGCAATGGAACAAGTACATACGTGAACAAGTTGGGAATGTTCGACAAGAACTTGGGACTGTTCATCAGGAAGTTGGAACTGTCCAGCAGGAAGTTGGTACTGTTCGTCAAGACGTTGGAACGCAAAAAAATGGATAGTACTCATAGAACAAACAGTTGGGATGTGACTTTGAGATTAGGAATATAAGTCAGCTTCGCCTGCAACTGGTATAAAAGTTAAGCCACCACCATACGACGGTCAGCTTCATGGGCGATATACAGACGTCAGTTCAAGACTATTACAATGACTGATGGTTGCAGCTCCGATAACAGGCCTGATTGTAGCATAGCGTGGCCCTGCCTTGGACCTACTAGAAACTCTTCTGCCTGATTCCCAGCAGCAAAACTATGGTGCCCTTGTTGATGCCTGACAGCGTCTTTATGAGTATCAACACAAACGGCGACTTTACTAGGTGCAACAGTTATGAACAAGACAACAGAACAGAAAACTGTGGAACTTTCAAAAAAAATTTAAACTGATAAACGCCTCCCGGTTAATTTGGCCTACCCAGAAGAAGTAGCTGAAATGCAAGAACAACTAGCTGCCGAAAAATTTATAAATGGGTCTGAAGATGTGGACGTACAAGGAATGCTGCTCATAAACATACCATCAAGTAGCATCAAAGCACTAATCAAAGCGAGGCGGCCTATAAGATACCTGAAGCAAAGATCAGAGCTGTGTCAATGCGAGAAAAAAAAGGAACGTCTAGAAGAATTACGTAAAGCTGTTGCCAGAATTAAACATGGAAACTTGAAATGGGGAAGGAGAAGAAATTTTCAGCGTGATGGGAGAGTACGACTCAGATCTGGCTTTCCTTCTAATGATTCTCAGTCTTCACTGAACAACTTGAAAGGGGGCTCCGAAAGTTTCCACTGCAAAAGCAAGGAAGCAGGAGACATTTCAAATCAGACTGTCGTAGAGTATAATTGAGATCTTGCTCCCCTTTTAATTGCTCTCAGATTTTGATTGAGAATTTGAAACGGTGGGATTTTCTGAACAGTCATTACTCTGATGAACTGCATACCAACACAGATGCCTCATCCTAGCATGCCCAGATCAAGGCAAGAACTGCTCCGCGTATAACAGTTCGTATCAGCAGTCTGATATTTGATGCCGGTCAAGAACAAATTTCCGAATAGCAGGTAAGTGATCAATTTGCAAAGAGTGACAACGGATGATTTTTCAACTCTAGGGAAACCGGAGAGAGATCAACAGCAAGAAAGATATCGACTCTAAAATATTTTCTGAAGTTATTTCTGCTAAATCTTAGTGCAGTACAGTACACCTTTCGGTTACAAACATTTATGATTTTTTGACATTTTGAATGTTAATCATGAACGAAAGTTATTTTTGGGATTGAAACGAGAAACGAATATCCAGTACTATGTTACGAAAGATCTATTGTTAAGTATAGATTCTGAAACCTACATTAGAATAGTTTATCTAGGAATAACACGTATGCTTAATGATTTGCAAGTCTGATACAAAAATATTGTAACTAACCTAAACTAACCCACAAAAAAAATTGTTCAGAAACCAGTGGTTAGTTAAACTCAGGATGTCAAGTCGACCTGGTAGATTTGCAATCACAC